CGCCACCGGACGCGGCCGCCACCGTTGATTTCATGATTAATTGTTTTGTTGCGCGACTCCTTTGCAGCGGATCTTGGGCATCCTCCCCCGGCAGCCTAACGTTCCCTTCCCTTCCTGCGACGCGCGATTATTAGCTCTGGGGAAAAACGAGGGTAAAGGAGGAGAAAATGGAGACCTTCTTGTGGTGAATTTTATCTCTTGGCGGCCGTTGGGTTTTCCACGAGCGAGGCCTTTCTTCGCGTGATTGTAGGCATGCGCGCGCGCGGGTAAATGGACACGTGCAGATACTCACTGATACACACAAATACACATACAAAAATACACATAAACACATACACATATACATGCACGTACACACACACACACACACACACACACACACACGCACACACACACACACAAAGAGAAATTCACATACACACCAAGTAGAAAAAATCACACACACCAAGAAAAAATTCACACACACGCACGCACGTACACGGAGCCCGAGCCAAAGGATGCTGCGCCTTATCTCGCGAGCCCAGAGACAAAGCCCCTGATATGAAGTGCGAAAACATGATGTTGACAAGTTTCCGGGGCAAAGGGCTGGGAGAAACCAGCGGCTTATCGTAGTTTCCATGTTTTATCACGTCGCTCTCTTTTCTTCTTCTTTGAGAATACTGTTATCAGGTTTATCTTGGTGTTTGTGTTTGCAGTTTTAGCATAGACATATTTCTTTTTCACGCGTTTTTTTTTTTTTTTTTCGCTTTCACTCTCACCCTCAGTCTCGTTCTCACTGCATACATCTCTTATTTTCTTATTCGTTCTCTATCTCTCTTTCTATACATACATATATATGTCTACATATATAACTATACACAAACGCACGCACACACACACAATATATATATATATATATATATATATATATATATATATATATATAATATATATATATATATATATATATATATATATATATATATATATATATATATATATATATATATATATATATATATATATATATATATATATATATATATACGTGTGTGTGTGTGTGTGTGTGTGTGTGTGTGTGTGTGTGTGTGTGTGTGTGTGTGTGTGTGTGTGTGTGTGTGTGTGTGTGTGTGTGTGTGTGTGTGTGTGTGTGTGTGTGTAAGGCGTTCAGAATGGAGAGAACTCACCACCTGAACAAAAATGAGATTCTTGCACCTCCGTTTTATATCTATATCTATATCTATCTACATATGTATATATATATATATATATATATATATATATATATATATATATATATATAATATACATAAATATACAACACACACACACACACACACACACACACACACACACACACACACACACACACACACACACACACACACACACACACACACATATATATATATATATATATATATATATATATATATTATATATATATATATATATATATATATAGAGAGAGAGAGAGAGAGAGAGAGAGAGAGAGAGAGAGAGAGAGAGAGAGAGAGAGGGAGAGATAAATAGATATATACACACACACGCACTCAAACACACATGTGTATGAAGCCAAAGGACTCTAAACTCTAAAAATGAAAATGTCAAGATTTTTGCATTTTACTTCTACTTTTATCTTTTTAGATATTCCCTTCTGAATCATCGTCTATTTTTCTCAGTGTCCATTAGTATGTCTGTCTGCTTTATTTTTATTTTTTTTTCTATCCCTTTCCTTCTCCCTTAACCCTCTTCTTCCCTCTCCCTTCTCTTTTTGTCTACCTCCCTTCCCCTTTCCCTCTTTTATATATATCTCCTTCCCTTCCCCCATATCTCTGTTTTTTTAGATACCACCACACCTTTTCCCATTCTCTCACTCCCTCCTTCTCTCTCTATGCCGCCCCCTTCTTCTCTCTTTCCCTTCCTACCCTTCCATCCTTCCTTCATCCCTCCCCCCTTCCCCTTCCCTCTTTCCTTCACCCTTCTTTCCCTCCCTTTC